TAATGATAAAAATGTGTGCATGATTGTTGAAGTGTCTTCGTCATCTGATCCATTCAGAAAGAAAAGGTCAAGCGCGAGAGTAAAGCGCGGTAAAAAAGGATAAACACAGCAAAACACAGGAGCAAAAGTGTTCAACAACCTGAATCATGAACAAACTGCCATGTTTATCTTTGCTTTTTGGACTATTATGAACTGGGAATGACAAAGACTCTCTAACAGAGTTTGCATGTGCTGGTGAAGATTACAGACACAGATGAGAGGTTTGCGCTGACTGTGGGCTATATTGCGTGTGTTTTTGAACTTAAATTAGTCCTAAATGTATGATGTGTGTGGTTTTTCTGTAATTAATAATATATTAGAGACCGTAAGGGGCTGTATGTGTTCATATATGTTGCATTTATGTATTTATTTTGTATAATTGCAGACGTTACAGTAGCCTATTTTGCACTGTCATTGATCTGCAGTTATAATCTACTCCTGTCCATAGAAAAGTTAGTAATAAACATTTATAAACAAGTATTTATGTGTATAAAGCATCTGTTTTGTGAGAAGTGCTTCTCATATGATATGTAAGAGACAGCTTTACTGTAGACATTTATTCGAGCGAGCATGACGTCAACTTAAACTTCATGTCGTACACCACGCCCAACAAAAAGGTACCCTTTGTGGTGGAAACGCAAGCATGATAAAGGTGACCCGTACCAACCCGAACCATACTGTACTGTACCAGTCAGTGGAAACACGAGGCATTAGCTCCAACTTGCCTCAACATAACTGCAAGAGTGTTTCTAGAAAGCCTAGTAAGAGCTTGATTAGCTAGCTTAGGTGTGTCTGAGTGGGGTAGAAACTAAACTTTTTCAGGACCGAGTTTGGACACCCCTGGTCTAACTGAACTCATTAAATGTTGGCTTTTGATTTATGTTTGTCTCATCTTCTCATGTTATTACTAGCTTTTATTTCCATAGTATTATGATAAAAGTACTCATATGATTTTAAAAGGCTAGTTTGCCTCACAATGGTAATTCTGTAATGATTTACTCTCCCTTCACTTGTTTCATGCCTACTTTACTTTCCTCTTTCTCTTGAAAACAAAATAAGATATGTTAGAGAAGTCTGAAAACTTGTAAATATTAATAGGTCTGTCACAATAATCAATTATGTTCCCCAAAAGCATATCTGCTATTGTAGATTTGTCATATAATATGCATCTCACCTCAAGCCAATGCTGTTTTTCCATTGGAAAACACTCCTATCAGGTTTTTCCCGGCACGTGAGGCATGGCTTTGGGTTTCTGTGTTTGCTGACCCACATCTTCCAGCACGAGTGCGACTGTTGGAGATGATTAACAACAACTCACCTTTCACATTAGAGCTGAAACTCTATCACCCACGATCTAAATCTGTGTTGTGAGGTTCAACTCCACACATGTGGCTTTCAGATAAGGAGTCGTAGCATGACTGACCCACATGACTGCCCCACATTGAGAGGTCAAACTTTGGACCATTGCTGACAGGGCTGCACGATATTGGAAAAACTTTACATTGCATATAATATATACATATAACAAACAAACTAATCAAAAACACTTATAATGGAGCAAATATTCAAGTGAAATGAGAAATGCTTTATGATTTTCTGGCAAGTCTTAAAAGTATACAGATATGTAAAAATATAAAATTACAAAGCATGTTATTTATAATATAAATAATTCAATAAATGTAATCATTATTATATAGTTACAAATGGTACAATTTCTCGTGCCTGAATGCTTTAAACTCTCAAAATGCTGCCACAGTTACAGGCTTTTAGTCAAGTCTAGTTGAGCTTTATTGTCTTTCTGTTATATGCTTGGACCTAAAGTGGAGCGAAATGTCGGGTCTCGCAGGACCGTGTGCAACATGAGTAATTATCATTTAAATAATTATAAATATAAACAACAGTGGACATGTTTTAAATCTATTCAGACTGGAGCGGTAATCCAGCTATACACATACTATAAATAGTTACGGCTGGTTTATACTTCAGTGTCAAGTGATCGGTGTGACCCCTTGCATGTTGCCATGCATTTATACTTCTGGGCGCTGTTTGTGTTGCTCTGCAATAACACTTCCGAAACACTAGCTGGCAGTAGGTTTTTATGTTCCTCTGTGTCGAGTTTTTTCGTTGATGTTTTGTTTTTTTCTGAACGCTACCTTAATGTACAAGTAGCTTAAACTCGATCAGTTTGAAGCGGAAATCGGCGGATGTGCAACAACTTAAATCATAAGGTAAACACGAAGCAAAAGTTTCCATCCGGAGCTCATTCACAGGACTCGACACTTGTAAACACTCGCTCCAATGAGTTTGCGTGGCTCTAGTCCCGCCTACACTCGTTGGCGCTATTAAGTAGGCATGGGCCAATATAAGATTCTGACGGTATGATAGACTTGGATAAAATATCACGGTTTCAGGGTCAAATATATTATTTTTAAATGTCTGGGTAAAAAACAAAAACTTTTATACCTTTTAAACGCAGTATATTTTATTTTGAGAAACATTTCAAATATTTTGGAGCAGTAAACGTGCCAGGCTAAATGAATTATTGACTTCTATGGTCTTGAATTGTTTAAATGTAAATTTAATTTAAAACAGCATCTTTTCTGCTGGAGATATTGTTGTCCTAAAAACAAAACAAATAAACGTAAATAAAAAATCGTACACATGTGGCTTTCAGATAAGGAGTCGTAGCATGACTGACCCAGATGACTGCCCCACATTGAGAGGTCAAACTTTGGACCGTTGCTGACAGGGCTGCTCGATATTGAAAATTTTTTACATTGCATATAATATATACATATAACAAACAAACAAACTAGTCAAAAACACTTATAATGGAGCTATAATGGAATGGTATTGCAGAAAATTTTAAAACCTTGACTTTTCCAAATCGTGGAATACTTTAAACGGTTTTCTTCCCATGCCTACTACCAAGCTGACTAATCACAGAGCTTGCGCTATGCGTCATTGTGACGTGTAGTTAAATTTTTTTCAGAGGTGTGAGGTGCGAGGGCTTTAACTATACACATAGATGTAGACATACTATACAAAACATGTATTTAAGGTTGAAAATGTAAGTAGCACAACTTGATTTTTGGTGGATTCAGTTTCCTCACGATCGGCGTCTAGCGTTCTCCAGCCTCCAGTGCCTAGACTACAGCTCTGTGCAAGAAGTTCGGCCAGAGGAGAAATGGTCGTGCTCAGCTGAGCCTGGTTTCCCTCGAGGTTTTTTCTTTCACTTTTGTCTATTGGTGAAGTTTGTTCCTCACCACTGGCTTGTTTGCTTTGGGACTTGTGGAGCTCCTCATCGATGGATTTGCTCTTCAGTGTTTGGACTTTCAGCAGTAAAAATTAAACCACGCTGAGCTAAACTAAATTAAGCTTTAACTCTGAAATCTGGATTGACAGTTTCAATTTACTAAAACTTTAACGTTTAGCTGCTTTGACACGATCTACATCGTAAAAGCGCTACAGAAATAAAGATAAATTGAATTAAATACATTCACAGGTAAACATAGTGTTTCTTATTGAGTTGTAAGATGGAGTTTAAGTAAAGTGTGTGGTGCATATAGAGAGAAGAGTTTTTCTACAGGTGGTTTGTCAAGCCCACTCACTTGTGCTCAAAGATACACAATGTTTTTCTACAGATACAGAGTAAATATGAGAAAGTGTCTGGTCCAAATGTGCACTAGAAAGAGATGAAAGTGGGATTTCTACTGTCAAGCCCACTTACCAGTGTGAGGAACACTCATAATTCAGGATTCTTACAGGTGCTGGAAATCCTGGAAAATTCTTGATTTTTAATATAGTGTTTTCAAGGTTAGAAAAGTGCTTGGATTTTGGACAAAGTGCTTGAACCTGCTTGAATTTGCAGGGCTTGAAATCGTGACTGTTTTGGTTGCATACAAGCACTATTTTGTCTATGTGACCTCAATATACATGTTTTAATTTTGTCTATGTGACCTACATTTATAATATGTGATCCCAAATATATTTGGGAGCATTTATGCGAGTGCATAAATTGTTGTCGTGCGACCAGTTTTCATTGCAAAATGTTTACCGAATGCGCGCATTTGTGGAGCTAATAATAAGCCGAAATAATCTGAATTTGAATTGTGTTAAATTAAATTATTAAAAATTTTGAGTTAATAATACTGATTATGTCCTATTAGAAATGTTTTGAATTTGTATTTCTTAACTTGATTATTAAACGTCTGAAATTTAAGACAACTTAATTTTATAAGTCAGATTTTTATAGACATATTTTTAAACCTGAAACGACAATCCAATGTTTGTAAAGAAAAAATAGCAATGCACATGAATCATGAATATCATGAACGACTGGTCATGAAAGGTTGGTACTACACCCAAACAAAATCTGACTGTAAGCTCATTTCTTGAGATATCAACTTTTGTAGAAAGAGACCAAACCTAAAAGTATACTTCATCCATAACTAAACTTTTTTTACATTTATTTTTTAATCGTTTTTTGGGTGAACTATCCCAATAAATCCATGCTCTAAAGTGCTCAACAATTTTTCGTTTTTTAAAATAGCACAATAGATTGAAATGTGAAAAAGTACATACAATATAAATAAACGTATTTAACCGTGGTTATTAGGTGCGGAAAAGCATACAAATGTACCTTGAAAGTGCTGGAATTTAAAGTTGAAAAAAGTGTAAGAACCCTAATAATTGCATAATGGTTTGAGGTTGAAAACACATGCACATGATAAACTCTCCTAAAAATAAAGTATAAATATAAAATTTCATGTGTTTTGGCTGGTGTTGACCAAATCCTAACATTGCATGTGGTGCTATGTGTCTATTTTGCTTGCACACATTGTGATATCGATGTTGAATTGATATATTGTGCGGTCATAATTGGTGGGAGAGCTTTGCATGTACAAAAAACATGATATCCTCTCACTGATCTTCACTGTTTGTCTGCTTTCCTTTCTCAGATGTGGAGGCACGGTGGGTGCGATCCTGACATGTCCATTAGAGGTGGTGAAGACGAGGCTTCAGTCTTCCTCAATAACGCTCTGCATCTCTGAGGTGCATCTGAGCACTGTTAATGGAGCCAGCGTGGCCCGTGTGGCCCCTCCGGGACCCCTTCACTGCCTCAGGTATGCGTGTAGACTTAAAATCTTATGCATATTGTAAGTGGCGTGTAAGTGCTTTTTAAAAATAGTTCTTGAAAGATTTGAATTACATTGATGTACTATATCATGGGATGCATGACAATATTGTTTAGTAGCAGCATGGAATGGATAAATTGCTTGGGGAAAATAAAAATGTGCATATAAATTATAACACATTTATATTTACATCAAGATGCATCAACAATCATTTCATACACAATTTAAAGTGCTTTACATAAACGGGAATAAAAGAAACAAGAAAATAAAAACAATGTAGAATAAAATGAATTAAACAGATTAAAATATGTTAAACAGGTTATAAAAGAATAAAAATAGAAAAGAAAGACATAATAGTGCGATCTGTGGGACGTAGCACAGTGCTCATTCAGTAAAGGCACAGCTAAACAGATGTGTTTACAGTCTTGATTTCGCCTTGCTTTGACTGAACCCTTGGAATTTCTAGTTTATATGATCCTAAAGATCTGAGTGATCTATTTGGTTCGTATACAGTGAGCATATCTGTAATGTACTGCAATCCCAGGCCATTTAGTGATTTATAGACAAGCAATAATACCTAAAATCTATTGTGAATGTAACTGGGAGCCAGTGTAAAGACCAGGTGTAATGTGCTCTGATTTTCTGGTTCTGGTCAGAATCCTGAACGTAGCGTTATGGATGAGCTGCAAGTGTCTTGATTTGTCTTTTTGGCCAGTGAGGAGGCTGTTACAGTAATCCACCCTGCTGCTGATAAAAGTATGAACAAGTCCTCACTGGATAAATAATCAATTATAGGAAATAAAAACATTTTGTTTATTTAGTTTCTTTCAGACAAAATGTAAAGTTATGTGGTTGTACCACACACACACACACACACACACACACACACACACACACACACACACACACACACCAATCATCATCAGTTATGTGGTTGTCCAATACCTACACACATCGAAAAAAGAAAGGAAAGTTTTGTATTTTCTAACTGGGACAAGAAGGCTTCTTTAAATTATTACAAAATATTTTCATGACATTAGATGTAATTATTAATAGTATTTCTTTATTTTTTTATGCGTCATGAATACCAAATGCTAAATTGACTATTTACTATTTTATTTGGACAATTGAGTTCAATAAATGAATAAGCAATAAAAGAACAGCAGAATCCCAATAAAAAGTAGGAATAGTAAATTTGTTCTTTAGTAGTGGCAGATTAATATTTACATATTTAATTGCCTTTATTTCAACATGCAATAAATAATACAATTTCACAAACTACTAAATTAGTTTGGCCCTGTCCAAACGAACACGGGTATTTGGCTGTTTGTCCACACGAAAAACAGTGTCAGGTGACTGAAAACTCCGGCCAGGGTGAAGATTTTCCAAAATTCCTGCTACAGTGTGGTCAAGTGAAGGCTATAACCATGGTTTTAGCCTCATAATGTCAGCGACCAAACACGGAAAATGTGAATGCAGTCGCGTATTCTGACTTGTTTAACCATCGGACGGTAATCCACCTCTGTACTCACGTTTGGATTTACCAGAATGTAATTTACTCACAAAATGTACTTAATACACCGTTTGATGTAAACTCAGTATAAAAATGTCATTATCGCCACCTGTTGGTTCAACATGCCCATCATCACAGTGCGTTTTTGCGTTTTTCATGTGGACAGAGATTTTTTTTTATTAAACAAAAGTTGTAAAAATACCTTTTAAAACAAAATTCTTTATAAAAATACCCATGTACATGTGAACATGACCTTAATCTCAAAAAATGCCATGTTGATATTCAGACGAAGCAACAAAATTAAAAGTAGCATAACTATTCTTTCAAACTTGCGATGCAATTTTTCTTTTTCCTTATTTAGTGCCATTTTAACATATATTTATTTTTGTTCATTACAAACAAATCCAGTCAGCACTCATTTATCATATCTCAGTACTCACAAACCCAAATGAATTGTCTGTACAGTTTATTTGTTCATATTAGCAAAGACTAGAACATGTACTCATCTTGATTTATCATGTCAGGTTTAGTGCTGGAGACCGGCTACACCCTGTACTGGAATAGTCTGAATGTTACCTCCGAATGTTGTGAGAATGTTGAGTTTGCGTTGAGTTGGCTCAGCGTTTTGTAAACATTTGCACAATATGGTTTAAGGGTCTGTCCTCGCAACCAAAGCACACACCCCTTTTGGTTGTCCTTTCCAAAAATATGACCCTATTTTTGTTTTTGTGGCTACATACAGGCAGAAGCCAAGATGAATTGGAGATTGTTGGTTGTTTTCCAACTAGGAATTGTAGTTCAATGGTTGATTACCTGTTATATAAGATGTAAATGTATACATTACCAAGGCAGAAGGTATGTTGAGGTCTGTAATCCCCTCTCTTTGCCTCTTTCTTTCTGTTTTCTTTATAAAGCAACTATTCTCTGAGGTTTCTACTCCCCCTTGACCAACCAATCACTGCCCTCACACCAACTTGCACTGATTTTTGGCACTTTGCTCTTGCTTAAAGAGTGTGTGTGTGTGTGGCTCTGTAGTTTTCAAAACGGCCCTCTAGTCTGTTTGGTTTAACTTGAGTCATACATCACAGAAAGTTACCAGATTCTTAGTATGAAGACATTTAGATTCACTTAGTTTGGTTTCATCAATCTAATCAAGTAGGTAAATGGTTCTGACGTCATGCACTCTCCCTTAATGGGTTATCGTTTGTTACGTAATCGGCCAATGTTTGTCTTTTTGACACGTGAATGTGCATCTGAGTATCTTGGACTTTGAATGCTCAGCCTTTGACGGCAACCACAAAGATATCGGAAACGTTTTCACCTCTTTCTGAAAGTTGATAAATGGGTTAATTTGCCACTTTATGTCAGTTTTTGTGGGTCAAAGTAGTATTTTATGTAGCATTGGAAAAACCTAAAAAACACAATAGCTATGATTCCCTTCAAAGATAATTGAAACATATGTGCAAAACTGTAATATTGAATAAAACATTTGCGAATAAAGCAGCTAAAGGAGTCCTCCACATAAATAAATACAGCCTACGCCACGACATGCGAAAGTATTCTTCTATATGTTTTTATCGAAGTTGTTGACAATACTTATCCAGCCACAGAATTTGGAATGTAGATTGTAATAAATGTGTAAACAAAGCTGTTATTAGCTGCAGTTAGCGCTTCTGCCTTCTGATGTCTTTGGGACAGAAGCAGCTACAAATGCTAACTTTTTTAATAAAAGTGAAGCCTCAACCAAAAGCCCGGCCTATTTTTGGTTTACAAATACAAGCGCAGCCGTTTAGAGCTCATTTCTCGTTAACGATGTTAGAATTTACCTGTATTTTGGAATTGATGTGTGGATGGTACTTTCCGGGAAAATTCCAAACCGTCCTTGCCTGTGTGAACAGCACATATTTGAATTTACTGCTAATGTCGTTCTGGTAATCTCGGATATTTACTGGTATCACTGTGCAAAAGCAGCTAAAGAGAACAAAATTATCACTTTCTCATAAACTGGCACCAGATATCAAAAGGAAAATGGAGTTTTCTGGGATAGAAGAAGCCACTGTGGGTCTTTTGTGCGTGAAACACATTTTGGTGGCACAAATGCTTGACAGTTCTGCAGGTGATAACAATATAATATTAATAATACTAAACAATTTTGATGACAAACTTTGACTAAGGGAGTTTAGAATGACCAAAACCAGGGTGTCCGCTGGGTCTTAAAGTCCAACTAATTCTCACCCCGAAGGCGTCAAAAACTGAAGTATGGTCACGCACCTTGCACCTCAATATAAGGACGCCGAAGGTGCCCCCTGGCGTCACTATACCAACTCAAGAGGAATTCCATTGCTTTCAATGGTTTGCTTTAGGCGTGAAATGGAGACGCAAAGCTTCGTATAGTTACCAATAGATGTCAATGCAATATTTTGAACCTGGTTTACGCCTATTATCGCAGTTTTTTATTTTTATTTAAAAATATGTGATTTTTGTTTTGTTCATAAAGCGTCTGTAAACAGGGTCGAGACAACTTAACACCATGTTAAGGTCAAAATTGTTAGCCCCTTTAAGCTATATATTTTTTCTAAACTGGGCAATCAAATATAATTTCACTCATTAAATATAAAGTAAATAATAACATATTTATCAACACCAACTAATCTCCAATAAAAATAAAAAAACATTTATTCAGCATTAACCTATACCACTTATTGTTGCGGGCCTTATTTGGGATAGAGTTAAACTCATCAGTGTACTCACCGATATTGCATTTTGACCAATAGCTGAGCAATGTTAAACTCACTGTTGAATGGAAGTCACATTGACCGAGGTATATTCCTATTTACAGTTGTCTCGACACTGTTTACAGATGCTTTTCATCAATTATGCCACGGTCGCACTAGAGTTTAAGCAATGTAAAATTCTGTTGTACGTCACTGTTAAAATGGGTGGGATTAAACAAGATGATTAGACAAAAAGTGAGCGATTGGTCCATATTTTAAATTTCTGTACAGAGAGGTCATGTTTTGATCTTTGATTGGTCTCAAGGAATCACATGATGTGATTTCGCAGTTCAGAGTTCACCAAGCTTGAACTTTCCAACACAGCGAAACTTATCACATGAGCATGTGTTTCCAGTCTGTTGCAGTCGCATGCATATGAATGGAAGTCGAAATATGCTGTGTGGCCACCGCTTTAGTCTTTTAAATCAAGACATGACGAACTTTAATTATACAAGATGCAATATTGGACACACTACTTAAAGGAGAAGTTGCTCCAAAATATCAGTATTGCAGTAATATCCTAAATGTAAAACACAAACTATTGCAATGTCCTGATTTTTTACTGTTTTTCTACATTGTAAAGCACTGCAGAAACAAAATAATAAAATACAAATGAATGTTATTATGAGATA